AGTAGGTATATTACCCACTCGGAATATTTCGTGTAGGTTTAGCTACCCTCCATACACATATTATCCGCAGGGCCTGGCAAATTTCCGAGACCAATATTAAGGGGAAGGCTGGTGTGGATCGCCCAGTAATGATAATATAGCCTGCAACTCTATTGATGGTTTGAGTTGTGGCCCTTGGGGGCCTTGCTAGTTGGACACGCTTGTTGAAGGGTTGGAGTTCCGACGGTGGGGTATTTTCAACACTTGCTTGTTAGCCTCACATCCAGCTGTACTCAGGAGCGGCCGGCTGCTCTGATCAGTAGTATTGCGTGGTTTCCCCAGGGGAATGTCGGGGCGGTGCCCTAACAAATGTGCCATGGACCGTGCGCTTTCATTCCTTCCTCTTCCTGGTCCTATCACCTCCCTTTACATATACACTCTTTCACTAGCGTGTACTACATTACCACACATGCCGGGAGCTTAGAGCTTGTCCCGACTGCGAGGTACCTCGCTGATGGAAATATCTGGAGATAGTAAACCTCGCAAGCCGACGAAAGAAAGTCGAAAAAACTGTACATGACCTTATTTTAAAATCTATCTTTAAGATACATATTTTATTAATGAAAAAATCTCATCTTTAATATTTTAGTTGTAAGAAGACGCCGAAAAAAATTCGAAAAATCAGAGTTTTCAACAAAAATGATCTCTGCACCGTAGTGCTAAACGTACTTTACACTATTTAACAATACAATTTAATTAAAAACGATGGAACTATTTTTTTTGAAAATTTGAAAATGTTCCAGTGTCTTCATGTAAAGTATCCTTAAAATTAAAATAACGCTTTCAAATTCATGGAGCCGCTACATCAGCCAGATTGTCCGGGAATTTCAGTTTTGGAGAAAATCGACCAACCGCTTTAACCGCTACCGTTGTTCACAGACAGACGTTTTGCTGTCAATCGATTTTGTTTTTATCAGGGACCCACAAAACATGGATTCTGGGTACACCACGTGTCAGAGGATATTTTCCTAAATTTTGCGTCTAGATTTATCAACTTTTGCGTTGCCAGGGCCCTGTAATAAGAATGTTAATGCCAAAAATTTGTTGTTTTTTCGCGCTGCATTACATACCTTTCTTTCTACTGCGGAAGCGAAAAAGTAAAAATTGCTGCAAACAGGGAATTTCAAATTGGAATGCAACAACGGCTCGGCAACAATGACTCGGGAGCTACTTTCTGTGAATTAAGTCTTATTGTTGGGACATGATTTACCTGTAAGAAAAGAAGTTGTAATTGTCAAATTTGTGTTATTTGTTTGTAAATATTTAGTTTGTAATGAGTTTTACAAAATGTCATGACTGATATATGTTAAATCGGAGGGAAATTGTGCAATTAGTTCATAATGTTAAGCTTTATTGCATGAGTACCGGTTTTGAAAACAAGCGCCGTTAAGTGCGAATTTTCAAATTTTAACGAATGTAATAAAGCAACATTATAAACGCGTTGAATATGGTATTTTTGGAATAACAGCATTATAAATTTATAAGGTAATCAAACTTAATTTTGCGAAACAACTTTCTTGTGACGTCTCCTGTATTTGACATGAGAAAACTGGTCGGCTGTTCCGTTTACCTCGACCTTCCTACGATTCTCTCGCTGCGATTGGCTGAATGTGTGATGACGCAATAATTCGGGCCGTAAGATCTAATATGTCATCATTTGTGCCGTAAAATGCCCGATTATGAACGATTTCTTGCAACAGAAAAGGTAGTTTGTAATGCTGGTATAAAATAAATAGTGCTACATAACTATTACTAAAGGCGAGAAAACAGGTACTGTTTTCGCATCACTAGTTTGTTCATAGCTTAGTTCTACATTTTTGAACCTAGAAGGATGGCGCGTGATTAAAAAGAAAAAAGAAAAAGTAAAAGAAAAAACCGCTTTCTTCTTGTCCTATTGCAACGGCATGTGCGCTGCGCAGGGCGGCGGCGCGGCGGGCGGCTTCGCGGACGGCGTGGTCGGCGGCGGCGCCCAGCTGCTCCGCACCCTGCGCCGGCGGTTCCCGGGGCTGGCGGCGCTGCCCGTCGCCAACACGTGAGTACCTCCGCCGATAGAAGAATTGAATTGAATTGACTTTGCCTTATTTTACGTGGCGAGACTCGGGCCATCAGGCCCGCTGTTCCGTCTGGCCACACAAATTTCGCTACGCTCCTTACACCAACTAGCAGAGAAAGGAGGTATTTCTTGGGCGAGAAACAGGCGATTTGAATTTAGCTCAGAGGCGTCATTTAGGCTTGAGGATCTTTTACATGCAAGTAAATCTACGAACATGGGACAGCCGGCTTTACTTCCCCTCCGAAGGAAGGCGTACGAAGGATTTTTTCGCCCTTAAAAATCCACGGCTTCGATCGCGTTTGAACCCGCGAACTTGGGTACAACAATCCGGTACGCTACCCGCTACACCATCGCAAGCGGCTGCGGAGAACCTTGCCGACCGGAACTGGCTGCTCAGAGCGATGGTTCTCTTACACCAATCCCGGGGTTTCTCTTACACCAATCCCGGTCGAATGACGGAGCGGAACATGGTCCACACACATCGTTGCTTTTTATCCTGGCCCTGTCCTCTCCTCTTACACACACCTACCCTTTCATTTAGATGCACTACACCACTACCATCACACGGCCAGGGAACAGTCGGGAGCTTGGAGCTTGTCCCGGCTGGGGCGGCGCTTCGCTGGTGGAGGATTCCCGAATAGGGAAATCTCCGCAAGGTTGGCGCCGGAAGAATGAAGATATTGAAATAATGGTATCTGCGTACTTGGAGCTTGTGGTATAAAAGCAGTCCTAAAAATCTGCTGAGGGTTTTAGTGTCTGCAGGTAAGGGTAGTTCATTAATGGCCGCAACTTTCTAAACCAACTATCTGATACCACGTGATGTGATATTATAACACAAAAAGGTAACCCTTGTTTGAGAAAAAACGCATTTTTCCAGATTTAACAAAATACCGTTTTCTTGAAGTCTGTCTGTAAATTGTCCTGTCTATAAATTGATGAAATGAGTGTCCTGCATTTTTAAAACCAAATCCCATGTATGGAAACTGAAAAACCCAAATGGTATTGTTATTGCAGTTTTCGTGACGTCTTCTGGATTTACAGAGATTTGTGTGTAAACTTCACCAAATTGAAAATCGAAAAAATTATCGATGCAATTTGTGAATTGCAATCGTAGATATGTCTAACAGGGCATCGATTAGGTATTGTTCTGGCATTAAATAAGCCATAGTCACTTCAAAGTCTCCATTCATTTTTTTTCTTTTTTACCGTATGCAAAGATGAAGCTCATGAATTATCGGACCTGCGCACTATACGTTGTTGGCACATGGCTTCAAACTCTAATTGTGCTGTGCTTAGTTTATCTGATGCCAATCGTCGTTGACTACAATACACTGGTAGGATAGGAGTTGTTCTAATACAATGCACTATATCATGTTTTGTAACATGCATCATGCCAGATGGCTGAAGTAACTTTGGAAAGTCGCTTAGTAATTGTATTTTATTATCGTTAGTTTGTGGAACTTTAATGCGTAATGCTAAATGAATCATCACTTTGATCGATTGACGTACAGGAAGCGCAATTTGGCTTATAGTATGATAAGAAGTCGGATACGATTATCGGGATATCGATGTCAGAAGTAATAAATTGCCACGGAAAAGAACGGCGAAAGTCACTTTATATATAATGATTTTTGAGTTTTGTCCATATGTTGATAGTGATGATCCGTTTGTAGGTTTAATTCAAAATTTGTTGACAGCAATTTACGAGAGACGTGTTTTTTAGGGAAACATGACACGTCAGATCCAGCGTTGATTAAAAAAATACATCTTGGTCGCATTATCAAAAATAAATAGTCGACGGCCTGTGGGTAAATTATCATTCGCCGTCGCAAAATATTTCTTTTTTCAAATTTACACGGCTCAATGCTTTTGTGGGTCTCTGTAAGTCAAATGCTAACAACATATTCGTTGATCACCATTGACAACATTAGAAGATGAGTTATTTCTTAGTATAACTCGACCAATAAAAGAATGAAGCAGGTG